GCTACGTGGCAGCAAATGTTTCCAGCTATGCAAAGAGGGTCACTCTACTCTGGAGTCTTTCGTTACAAATTAACTGTTTCCAGTGTCAAACAAAAAACAAAAACACAGGCTGTGTGAAACTCTTTATGTTCATCAGCACTATAATGATATGGCATACACATGCCTCTTTTTTCTTTTATCCGCAATGATTTCTCAGAAGCAAATTATCATTTCTACCAGATAAATCACATGACCTGATTAGGACCACAGGCCAGTGATTCTTGCCCCTATGTTGGGTGAGCAGTGCATCGCATCTGCCAAGACATAGGACAGTGACTGCTTACGTGTCATGCAAATACTTGCATGACCCTTGTGTTTACAATTGCTTTTAAGTAGTTTGCGTAAAGTTTGACAGCCCTTAACCTTAACCACTGCTTGCCTAACCCTAGCCCCTCAACCTAACCTTGATTTACATTTTGGCGACTTGTCCCCATAAGGATGTTGAGTCTCCACAGTATGACTGTGTAAACAGATTTACATCCCCACAACATGAGTAATGCCAGGCCCCACACAGACACGGGTCTGATTTGTCATTCCTACGCTTGGTATGCTTATATAATGAGTTATGCTGCTTTTTGTCCCAAAGGAGTTGCCACTTGCTATTAGAGGTGATGAATGTACACAATATATATATATAATACAATACATGCCAAGGTTGAAAACACAGGATTGAGAACAGAGAAGTAAAGTGATATACAGCTCTGACAACTCCTCCTATGCTAAGATAAAGTGTATTTAATAACATTACAGTGATGAAGCCATAAAAGGCTCGCTCTACCACAAATTCTGTGACTGGATGATAAATCTTTTTAGAGTCTGACCCTCCATATTTTGCTAAAGCAGAAAGATTCATCACTGTCCAGTGATTCAATCCATCATTGATTAACCGGTGTAATCATTAACATTTAGCTCAGCAGAACATTAGGTTGTTTCCCTGTTTTAAATAATCATCTGACAATTTCCTGAACACCTGTCGTCCGTCTTTAGCCACATGCTGGTGGCTGTACAGCGGGAATTTACATTTCTGAGCAGCTCTAATCCAGTTGAAAGTTCAGAAACTCTGTCAAGTGAATCTCCTTTGAAGATCGTGTACTTGTGTCCCTTCAGAAGAAGAAGAGGACCTTTGGATGCTCTAATAAGTACCACAAATGGGATTTAAAGAAGCATAACAAGTGCCCTTTAGACTGTGGAGAGGACCGATGAAAAATCTATTCTGCAAGGGTCAGTGTAGGAGAGGAGGACCAGTGATGACCCAACTACAGATCAATATTGTCTTTTTATTAGAATTGCTCTCATTTCCTCTCCTCCTCATCTGTCACACCCTCCATCTAATAACTTTTTTCTTGCTCGATCCCCATTTCACTCTCTGATTATATCCCTTTTTCTCAGAGTCATTTCTCACTCTAATCTTTACAAGCAGAGGAGATGACAGCTTCAGCAACCACCCCTCATTTGGCTGGAGTGACCAAAGTATATGATAATTTCTCCATCAGCAGCTGATTCACTTGCTTTCCAAAACAGACATCATACAGTAATATTACAGATTAAAGATACCAGATAAATAAAAGCGCTGAATCACAAAGGTGATAAATTACACCAGTGATGACACTGTTCAGTCAGACAGACTCAGATCAGTCAAGCCTTACGTTAAAAGCTTTATATTTGTACAGAAGCAGGAAAGGCAACCTAATCCAGGTCACATCAGGCTGTGAAGCTGTGTATAGATCTACTGTAAACCTAAAGTTCATATTAGTCTCACTGCGTGAGCATCAGTCCACAGAAGCAGCCTGTTAGTGGCTCCTGAGTATTTCCTACAACGTAGAGGCCAATTTGGAACACAGTGAGCTTTGTCACTGTTTGCCTACCAGTGATGGGGACAGGGTTCCTGCTTGTTAGAGCCTAAGTGAGTGTGAAATGTGTGTAGTCTGCTAAATGACATCTTGACAGTCTATGATGGAACTCTCCTTTAACAGCACTCAGACAAACTGTGATTACACATTCAGCAGCAGGACCTTCAGGCCCAATGCAGCAACATCACTGTGTTCTCCATCAGCCTATCGGACACATTATGACCAGCTTTAATAGGTGTGGAATTACGGGCAGCTGTTCAGCTTCCCCTCCTGAAAAAAGGAACTGTTCTGGTAATACAAACTACTTTCTACAAAGTGATATTACCACAAAGCCACGTGACTACAGCGGCTCAATGTTGCATCCTGTTCTAAATTGTTTCCTGAAAGGAATGAACTTTTTTGTCTGCATAGGAACCTTAGGA